CAATACGTGTAAATTAATTGGTTTACATGAAAATTATAGCGTTTACAAATGGCGGGAAAGATACTGGGATTTTTAATTTTTTTTTATACTAAAAATGGCGGTGATGAGCAACTGAAGCCAGCGATCGGTGACTTATGGCGCCCATCAGCGACTTATGGCAGGACTGCGGCGAACTTTCTGACACTGGGGGGGAACTGACTTGGGGTCACTGACATCCCCAGTGACACCAATACAGTGATCAGTGCAAAAAAAAAAAAACACTGACACTGTACTAATGGTACTGGGGAGGAAGGGGTTAACTTTTTATTCAATGAAAGGGTTAACTGTGTGAGGGGAGTGTTTTACTAGGGGGCGGGGATGTGTACTGCACAGGAACACGCTGATTCGGAGAGATAAACTCTTCTCTCCGGATCAGCATGTCAGGAGCTGACAGGGAACTGACAGAAAGCCGAGGTGCAGTGTAAACACTGCAGCCGTGCTCTCTGTCAGTGATTACCGCTAATTGTGGGGACACGGCAGGTAATGACCGGCTGTGACCCGGCGACTGACACCCGCGGCCGCGATCGGCAGTGCAGGTAGGGCGGAGTCGCGCCTCGTGCGTGCCCCCTACCTGTTTTGCAAAAGCACGTTTTAAAACATGGGTTTAAATCTCCAAATTCCATTGGTTTTTTCTGCTGTGATCTTACTTCCTGTTGGAGGGTGGCTACGTCCATTCTCCATGGACCAAATGTATGTAGTAATGAAGCCACCTTCTCTTGCTTGCTCTCGAGATAGACTATGGACTATGGGATTTGTAGTGTGCATAAATCAGTTCACATGGCCACATCTAATGTGCACTGCTCATTCCAAACAAGTGGAAGTGAGGGGGAAAAGAAGGCAGAAACAATTTCATAGAACATAGACTACAGGGCCATTAAGTAGTGGATCTGTTTGGATTATTTTAGGAAAATAAGGATAATGTTTATTGCCCCTTTAATTTATAGCAGAAACATCAATTGCTTTAAAATTACAGATTTAGGATTTTTCTTTCTCAATACAAGACATTGGAGAACTGGTAAATTGTTAGCCACTAACTCCCCATAAACCATCAAACTGTCACACTCAAATGTGGAACAAATTCATAGGGTATAATAACTGCACTCTCAAGAATTTGGGCAACATTCTTAGTAAGCAAGATCAATATTTTGTAAGGCACGTACCAAGGGGTACAAACATTTCACCATGGTAAATGAAAATGGAAAATAAATAGCATTGTATTGGCACACACCCTGCATCACAACGTGGGACCTAACCTTCATCCGCTGGGCCTTTTTATTATAACTGCATTTTTCATTATTGTTCCTTCTCAGTAACTGTGCTGCCATTATTAGGCAAACAGAAATGCACGGTTGGGTGATTGGATTTTTCTAAGGAGGGGCAAAAGGCTGAAAATTACATATTCATGCCTGCTGTGCTGCTAAATCTTGTGCCAAATGTTTTATCTTGATCTCCTTTAAATGCCTTAACGTTCCCCATACTTAACACCACCTTGTAAAATCACAACCTGTTCTAAACTGGATATGTCCAACAGACAAATGAAAACAAAAAACTAGCAATTGTCAAGTGAATGCATATTACATTTGTGGCATGAATACCTGGACAAAATCCTTTGTTTTGAAGTGATGTCAGTATGTACCTATGACACAGATGTCACAGTTGCTCAGTGGTTAGTACTTCTGTCTCACAGGCTGGTACTTGGATCCCAACCAGGACACTACCTGCATGAAGTTTGTATGTTTTCTTTATGCTTGCATGGATTTCCTTCCACATTCTAAAGACGTGCTGGTATACTCATATCCAAAAACTAGCCCCGATGTATGTATGCAGTTGAGGTAGGGACCTTAAATTGTAAGCTCCTTGAGGGCAGGGATTGATATACAGTGGGGATCGAAAGTTTGGGCACCCCAGCTAAAAATTTGTATTAATGTGCATAAAGAAGCCAAGGAAAGATGGAAAAATCTCCAAAAGGCATCAAATTACAGATTAGACATTCTTATAATATGTCAACAAAAGTTAGATTTTCATCATTTCCACTTTCAAAATAACAGAAAACAAAAAAATGGCGTCTGCAAAAGTTTGGGCACCCTGCAGAGTTAATATCTTGTACTGCCCCCTTTGGCAAGTATCACAGCTTGTAAACGCTTTTTGTAGCCAGCCAAGAGTCTTTCAATTCTTGTTTGAGGTATCTTTGCCCATTCTTCCTTACAAAAGTCTTCCAGTTCTTTGAGATTTCTGGGCTGTCTGTCACGCACTGCTCTTTTAAGGTCTATCCATAGATTTTCAATTATGTTGAGGTCAGGAGATTGTGAAGGCCATGGCAAAACCTTCAGTTTACGCCTCTTGATGTAATCCCCTGTGGATTTCGAGGTGTATTTAGGATTATTATCCATTTGTAGAAGCCATCCTTTCTTTAACTTCAGCTTTTTCACAGATGGCATCAAGTTACCATCCAAAATTTGCTGAAATTTTATTGAATCCATTTTTCCTTCTACTCGTGAGATGTTCCCTGTGCCACTGGCTGCAACACAACCCCAAAGCATGATTGATCCAACCCCATGCTTAACAGTTGGACAGAGGTTCTTTTCATTAAATTCTGTGCCCCTTCTTCTCCAAACATACCTTTGCTCATTCCGGCCAAAAAGTTCAATTTTAACCTCATCGATCCACAGAACTTGTTTCCAAAATGCATCAGGCTTGTCTATATGTTCATTTGCAAAGTTCAAACGATGATTTTTGTGGTGAGGACGTAGAAGAGGTTTTATTCTGATGACTCTTCCATGAAGACCATATTTGTACAAGTATCTCTTTATAGTGGAATAGTGTACCACAACTCCAGTGTCTACCAGATCTTTCTGGAGGGATCGTGCAGTCAAACGTGGATTTTGAATTGTTTTTCTCACAATCCTGCGAGCTGTTCTGTCTGATATTTTTCTTGGTCTTCCAGATCTTGCTTTAACTTCCACTGTTCCTGATGACTGCCATTTCTTAATTACATTCCGAACAGAGGATATTGACATCTGAAAACACTTTGGTATCTTCTTATAGCCTTCTCCAGCTTTGTGATCGTCAACTATTTTCAGTTTCAGTTTTCTAGACAACTGCTTAGAAGAACCCATGATGCTGATTGTTGGGGCAAGGTCAGATGAGTCTGGGCATTTAAAACTTTTGAGCTCGACATCACGTGGTCTTCCCAGACGATGATTGAGAACAATCCATGACACTGGCAGGTCTCAGCTTTGCAAAGGGGGCAGTGCATGCTATAAATTCTGCAGGGTGCCCAAACTTTTGCAGATGCCATTTTTTTTTTGTTTTCTGTTCTTTTGAAAGTGTAAATGATGGAAATAAAATCTAACTTTTGTTGACATATTATAAGAATGTCTAATCTGTAATTTGATGCCTTTTGGAGATTTTTCCATCTTTCCTTGGCTTCTTTATGCACATTAATACAAATTTTTAGCTGGGGTGCCCAAACTTTCGATCCCCACTGTATGTAGCGCTACCCCAAGAGGAGCCACTGAATTGTTTTGTGACCTCTCTGCACACCTGAAGTTGACACACCTCGCTCACCCAGCACTTACTGACACATCTTGAGGTATTTCAAAGATTTTATTAGGCCAAACATGGCCTAAAAGGAGAAATGGTTAGCAAGTGTACTTATATCAATGATCAAAAAAGACAATAACGTTACTCTAGTTAAATACCTGCAGTATTCTGATTAACAGTAATTTACAGAACTGACCTGCATTTAGCTAGCAACAGTATATAAGGACAATCATAAATTGCTACAGCAGCCCTAGTTTTATCCCACTGACCAGTGGTTAATGAAATAAAAAACTCATAGACTGGCAAAGTTGGGGCCCTTGAAGAAAGTACAACAGTTCCCAGTAGACAACATATTAACTTGTGTGATGTTAGTCTGTTACCAGTCCCAGGACACCCTTTTCTGGGTCTCCAGACACATGTTCTGATTCATTAAAACTCAAGTTCAAGTCAGACACGTATAAAAGCTTCTGTGATGTCTCTCTTTCAGTCTTGCATAGCAAATCCCTCTTTTCCTTCCTTACAAGTGGTGGGAGCGATCTCTAGTACAGTCTGTTCTCACCAGGCATCCAACTAATACCATCCCAAGGAGAAGCTTCTCAGTCTCTTTACTTCTCTAAGTTCTCACCCAGTTGTGGTCAGCTATGACAGAGATCCGATCAACCAGCAGCAGCGGCAGCCCATTCTGTTTTCCACACACCTGCTTGCTTCAAGCCCGCCCTCTGCTTTCTCCTCACCAGCCTACAGACACATTTCCCCTGGCTCTGTTGCATCAGTCAGTCACCATCTTCCATTTGATCCAGACCCAGTCAAACTGGCTGCACCCCTGCACTGGAGACACTCAGTTGATGAGCTTTGAAAAGTGGTCTCCTTAAAAATGGCTGCTGCTCTTCTGCATTAACCTCCCTGGCGGTATGATTATTTCAGATTTTTGGTGCTGAAAGCGGTACCATTATGTTGCATGGAAATTTGGCGTTTTATATTGTAGGCCTGTAATTCTTAGGAATAACTCACTGAAATCTGTCCGAACAAGAGTCTAGTAAACATCCCGGGTAGGATAAAACTTGAAACACAAAATCATAAATTATAATTTAATAAATAATCATAAAAAAAATAATAATATAATAATAAATTTAATTCAATAATATAATCAAACCAAAAACACTGAAATTTGAAATATAGCGCCAAGTTCGCACATCACTGAGCAAAGTCGCAAAATCTTTTTCAGTGTCTGATGACAAATTTCCCCACGAATCATTATCACTCAATTCTGCAAGTAGTTCTAATTTACTATCGCTGTTCTCTAGCTGGTCTAAAACCGCTTTTGACCTAATGGGACACTTTTTGGGCGTCATGGACTTTCCAGGCAGAAAGAACGGTACAAATGCAGGCAAGGCACAGGACAAAGCACTAGGGACAAAATGTATGTCAAATGGTTTGATACAGTAATGTTTTACTATGTGATTTTAGTGATTTTTGTGAATGTCACTTTTTGTCATTTTCAAATTTCCCTCCGTTCCGTTCCCCATACGTCCCGACGCTCGCAGAGGACGGAACCCAGATGACAGATGCTGGCATCCGCCGGATTACATTGCCGGGGACACTGCAGAAGGGACATAGCGGGAGCGCAGGACAAGGTAAGTGACCGAGGGATCGCGGAGCAGCGCCGCATGGTGTAGCTCGGGGTTACCGCTTGTGGTACTGAAACTTTACCCCGAGCTACACTCAGGAATACCGCCAGGGAGCCTACTGAATATTCAGTTTACCTCTATTCACACCCCAGAAGAATACTACAGCAACAACAAAGAAAGAAGTTGAACTGCTGTTATCATCTACAGTTTAGGTTACCTGTACAATATGGAAAGCCCTGCATACATTACTGGAGCTATATAATTAACTGTAATAATGACGTGTTCATAAAATACAACTGACATTTGACAAGTAGTTAGGTTAAAGCGCTATTAACCCGAAAACCAAAATGTAATAAATTGCAGCTTACCAACCATTAGATGTGGGGTCTTTGTTTTCTTTTTTTAGGCGTTTTTCTCTGTTTTCACCTGGTGATCAGGCCAGTAACACATCTTCGGTATTAGAGTACCTACACTTTGGATGAAGGGGCACAGGGGCACCTTTGGATAGCAGCATTGTTAATCTTGCGGTGAAGGGAGTTTTAGGTATACTAGCGAATTTAGATACACTAACCAATTGAAGCCAAACTCCAGCTAACACTTTATAAGCAGTTTCAGCAACAGGTTTTTTTTCCCTTTGGGAAAGAAAAGTTTTTTCATAAATAAAAAAGTTGATGATTGTAAGCATCCTTGCCAGTGGTAAATTTTATTTTATTTATTTATTACAGGTGCAGTCAATTTTACGCAGTGCTGTACATACATACATATATATATATATATATATATATATATATATATATATACAGTGGGGATCAAAAGTTTGGGCACCCCAGCTAAAAATTGTATTAATGTGTATAAAGAAGCCAAGGAAAGATGGAAAAATCTCCAAACGGCATCAAATTACAGATTAGACATTCTTATAATATGTCAACAAAAGTTAGATTTTATTTCCATCATTTACACTTTCAAAAGAACAGAAAACAAAAAAATGGCATCTGCAAAAGTTTGGGCACCCTGCAGAATTTATAGCATGCACTGCCCCCTTTGCCAAGCTGAGACCTGCCAGTGTCATGTACTGTTCTCAATCATCGCCTGGGAAGACCAAGTGATGTCAATCTCAAAGGTTTTAAATGCCCAGACTCATCTGACCTTGCCCCAACAATCAGCACCATGGGTTCTTCTAAGCAGTTGTCTAGAAAACTGAAACTGAAAATAGTTGACGCTCACAAAGCTAGAGAAGGCTATAAGAAGATAGAATAGCGTTTTCAGATGTCAATATCCTCTGTTCAGAATGTAATTAAGAAATGGCAGTCATCAGGAACAGTGGAAGTTAAAGCAAGATCTGGAAGACCAAGAAAAATATCAGACAGAACAGCTCGCAGGATTGTGAGAAAAACAATTCAAAACCCACGTTTGACTGCACAATCCCTCCAGAAAGATCTGGCAGACACTGGAGTTGTGGTACACTATTCCACTATAAAGAGATACTTGTACAAATATGGTCTTCATGGAAGAGTCATCAGAAGAAAACCTCTTCTACGTCTTCACCACAAAAATCATCGTTTGAACTTTGCAAATGAACATATAGACAAGCCTGATGCATTTTGGAAACAAGTTCTGTGGACCGATGAGGTTAAAATTGAACTTTTTGGCCGGAATGAGCAAAGGTACGTTTGGAGAAGAAGGGTCACAGAATTTAATGAAAAGAACCTCTGTCCAACTGTTAAGCATGGGGTTGGATCAATCATGCTTTAGGGTTGTGTTGCAGCCAGTGGCACAGGGAACATCTCACGAGTAGAAGGAAAAATGGATTCAATAAAATTTCAGCAAATTTTGGATGGTAACTTGATGCCATCTGTGAAAAAGTTGAAGTTAAAGAGAGGATGGCTTCTACAAATGGATAATGATCCTAAACACACCTCGAAATCCACGGGGGATTACATCAAGAGGCGTAAACTGAAGGTTTTGCCATGGCCCTCACAATCTGCTGACCTCAACATAATTGAAAATCTATGGATAGACCTTAAAAGAGCAGTGCGTGACAGACAGCCCAGAAATCTCAAAGAACTGGAAGACTTTTGTAAGGAAGAATGGGCAAAGATACCTCAAACAAGAACTGAAAGACTCTTGGCTGGCTACAAAAAGCGTTTACAAGCTGTGATACTTGCCAAAGGGGGGGCAGTACAAGATATTAACTCTGCAGGGTGCCCAAACTTTTGCAGACGCCATTTTTTTTTTTCTGTTATTTTGAAAGTGTAAATGATGGAAATAAAATCTAACTTTTGTTGACATATTATAAGAATGTCTAATCTGTAATTTGATGCCTTTTGGAGATTTTTCCATCTTTCCTTGGCTTCTTTATGCACATTAATACAAATTTTTAGCTGGGGTGCCCAAACTTTCGATCCCCACTGTATATATATATATATATCGTACATTCGCATCAGTCCCTAACCCTCAAGGAGTGTACAATCTAAGGTAAAAGGTTTGTTTAATCTCTCTAATTGCTACATTTACAAGAGAGCTTGTTCTTTTGAAAAATAACAGACTTACTGTCCTTATCACCAGGTGAGAATAAAGGAAAGAAAGCCCCAAAAGAAAACAAATGCAGCCACCACATCAAAGAAATGGTAAAGATGCAATTTAATAAATGTTCGCTTTTGGGTTATAATCTTACTTTACTTTAAAGGATAAGTTCACATTCTAAAAAATAATACATTTGCAGGTAACAAAAAAGGTGCATTAACTATTTTTTATTGTAGGAGCCTGGAAAGCATTGCACGGGCGATCAGCAGATCACGGTGCAAGCAGAGCTTATGCAGACTGTCAGTGTAAGAGATCTTCTTGTACCTTGTATGGGCAAGCAGTTGCACAATGACAGGAAGAATCAATGAACTACCTAGAGCTCTCAACAGCGCCCTGGTAGTTAATTGAGAACTACAAACCGACAGCCACAAAGGCTGTTGGTGCTTGAAGTTCATTCATTCACAGAACGTTGTGAATGAATGACGTAGCCGTATGGGTGGGGACACAAATAGTGACAGAAAATCACAGGACAGGAGGGAGAAGATCCCTGGCCTGATGTCACTGAGAAGGGGGATCGGGAGCTGCTGCAAGAGTGGGAGCATGTTACATGTTCCACTCTAAAAACTGGTGGAAAATGTAACATGTTTCCAAAGGTGAACTTATCCTTTAAGCATGAGCTTTACATAGCCTTTTGGACCAGGCAATATTTTTTTTTTGGAGCACAGCAAAGAGTAGTTCGGGCTTTGCCTAAATGGTGGAGTGGAAGACTTCCAGGTATAGATATTTTATACATAGTTACATTCTTCCAGTTTGGGTCAATGCAACTGTGTATATACCATACCTGGCCAATGGCCTTGGAAGCTAGAAATCACTGAAGTGGAGACCACTACTCCAGTGATCTTCATTTGCTTCCCAGGTCCCATAGCAAGAAGCTGTCCTGCTGTATTCTGAGCACAGGAAGGTAGTTGCTTGACATAGGTGCCATTCTCTGATTGGACAAGGTGGAGAAGAGGGACAGTGATGTGATGATTATATCAGCTGAAAACCTTCATGCCAAATATTGTACCTGCGTTAACAACTTGCTTGTATACGATGTATTGGCGCTAAATCCCTAACATTTTGTGTCATTGTTTTTATATTGAGGAGCTGAAATCAGTGTACTATATTTTGCCTATTCCTAATTTCTACATAACCATAGGTGAAGCATGGGTACTGCAGGCACTTCAGCATTATACTGAAGTGGGTGATCCCACTGCTGTTAAGATGCATGAAACACATTCGGGCTTGTTCAATAGTCTAAAGATTTTGGTAAATTTAAATCTATTTGGTTTTTAATGGATTGCTTTATTTTATACTTCCATTTTGATCTTTTCCAAGCCTTATTGGGCCATTCCCTCCCTGACAATATCCCAGCCAAGCTCTGTTTAGTCCGCCAACATTGAGTCCAACTGGATCTTCCACATAAACATATCTTCTTTCCTACCTTAATAATAGTGCGCACTAGGTATCAGCCTTCACAGTCATAAGAGGGAGCAGGAAATGGATTCATCATTTTCTATTATACAAAGCTAAACAGTGAGAGGCACCATCTAAACAAAATCAGAACAAGACAGGGAAAACCACAGTTTCCACTGCTTGATAGCAATACGGAAGAAAAAATTACTAATGTTTGTGCTGCTGGTATCTTACCACAGCCAGAAATGCAAAGATGAGTCCAGGCTTCTTTTCCATTCTACTTTAAAGATTGTTAAGATTCACAATACTGAACATGGTAGGCAAACCCCAATGCCAAGAAATATTGGCAGAAAGTCAACTTAGTTAAATTTGAATGCTAAACCTTGGAATTTATACAGGAAACACAGATTACTGATCCATTCAGGGTGTCAGATTTTCATTTAAACATACCTGTGGTGCACCATACCACCGGAGCAGACTTTCTACATTCAGCAGTTGCAGTGGTCCATTGACGAAATGGACAGTTTATTATTTGCTTTAACGTGTTGCCTTTTAAAAGATAAATGCAAACTTCTCTGTAAAGCTGACCATATGTTAATCAGTTTTTTTTCCATTCAACCAGCCAGTGGTGTATTTAGGTTTTCTGCTGCCCTAGGCAACACAAAAATCGTCCGCTGCCCCCATCCTTCCCCAGTGGTACTGTCCCCCCCCCCCTTAAAAATGCTGCCCAAGGCAAACGCCTTGCAGTAAATACTCCCCTGCTCTCTACCAAGTATAGACCCACCTCCCTCAGTACTGACTCCCTCTCCACCAAGTATAGACCCCCCTCCATCAGTACAGACCCCCTCCACCAAGTATAGTGCCCCCTCAGTACAGACCCCCCTCCCTCAGTACAGACCCCCTTCTCCACTAAGTACAGACCCCCCTCCCTCAGTACAGACCCCCTTCTCCACAAGTACAGACCCCTCCCCCTCAGTATAGTCCCCCCTCCCTCAGTACAGACCCCCCCACTAAGTATAGTACAAACCCCCCTCCCTCAGTATAGACCCCCTCCCACTAAGTACAGACCCCTCTCCATCAGTATAGGCCCCCGTCCCTCCGTACAGACCCCCCTCCACCAAGTATAGTCCCTTCTCAGTAC